ATGTTGCTCGAATTCGAGCAATAACAAAGTATTACAGGAGTTATTTAAGATTGAATAACAGTCATATTTACAATGAGTTTAAAAGATCAACTCAAATATTACCGTTGTGTAACTCAGACCCTGTTTATCTTCGTTATTGATAAACCTAAAGTATTCCGGACGGTTCTCTCCTTCTCAAAATGCCTCGCTGTCCAGGCAACACAGGTCATTAATAGAGGGCCAATTGAGAACGAAAAGTCGTTTTGGGGTAGTGTTAGTGCGCATTTGTAACCTAATAGTGTCCAGTTTCAGGTTCAGACTGTGATGAATTAAACCTTTTACGCGCCACTGTTCTGTAGCTGCGGTCGTTATCACGATTGCGCTTCCTGTCTATGTTTCGTTGTCGTTGCGTCAGAGACATTTAAAAGGAATAAACAACAAATAATAAACAAATTAAAGCTACACAAAACAACGATAAATGCACACATTTAAGTTACAATCATGCTAACACAATCCATCATAGCGACACAAAACAACGATAAATACACAAATTTAAGATACAACCATACTAACACGATCCGTCTTGGGGGTAATATTTACACAAACTCAAATAGTAAATTAATGTACTCAATGTGTTTCATTGAATTAAAAAGTAAATAACAGCAATAAAATTATACAGCTGATCAAAATGTAAACAATTATGTTCTTCATAAGGATAACATTGGAACTTTCAAAGCCACTGGGGCAGAGCCCAAGGGACTTTTTCAAAAATGTAAGGCCAGTTTACAAATCTACGCGACACGTTCCTTCCAATGAGACGTCAATGTTTTTAAAATGTTAACATTTATCGGTTAAGAAATGGCGGAGGAGTTCAACCGACAAACTGTCGTGTAGCGTATTAATTATATAGATAAATATAGTGCTATATTTAGTAGTTATATTTGTGAATAGACCTATGACATTCCTCGTTATATGACCATCTTTGTGCTTAATTTTGTCTGTATCGGTTTAGTATTTTAGTCGTGACAGCTGCCCAGACAGACAGACACCGCCTCAATTTTATAACAGTATAGAAGATAGATATACTATTTCAACGTCCGAGACAAATATTAACACGTTCCATCAATTGTTTGTCAAGCTGTTTGCAAGTGTTATCATGTCGTCATGAGTTCAGCTGTGTAACATACGATTGGTCATCACAGAATAAATGCTTTGTTTGCGATCCGGCAAAAGGCCAAATTTCAACCTTCACCATTAAACAAGGTTTAGCCAATATTTTATAATATTATTATTCATCAAAAGTCTCAAAATGTTTATATGCTTAAAGGCAACGTATGAATTATTTAATCAAAATGTTACTCAAGATTTATAACATAAACCGGAGAAAATAAAAGAAAAGTACAAAAGTATATAAAATGTTGAGTGTAGCTGTTTTTTTGGTGCTCGGTACCGGGAGATATTTGATTCAACATTTATTATATAAGTTAATTGGCTGAATAAAAAAAAAAACATATATACTACGTACAAAATATGAACACATTTCAGGCGATTTAAATCAAACATTTTAAAAACATTTATAATAAATTGTAATCCATATAACGTTTTCCGTTTTAACATTCAAAACGAATGGTTCGTATCGTATGATAGGATTGGTGGAGCATTTGAAAGGTTGTTTATGACTTCTTTCTATACTACGTTGCGGGTGTAAGAAGGATTGTTTGGCGGTAAGACCACTTTCAAGTCGTTTTGGTTATTTAACGCCATGACCACGTAAAGCATACGACGGGTGAGCAGGCTCACACCGAAGAATTTCAGTGTTCGACCTTGGCTCTTCTGTATGGTTATTGGGAATGCTAGACTTATAAAGTAAACTGATGTCGCTGCATTGTATTTCCAAGATGGGACTTGCTTGAATCTAAGGCGATTCGTGGAATGTGAACAAAAATCATTAAGTGGAGAAAGGATAGCATGGTATTTCAAATCTTCGAACTGTCCGCTTCTTGGATAATATTTCTCATCCGCTGACATAGCGACTTCATAGGTTTGAGAAATTGCAACGCGCTAACGTACTTTAAAACGTCAAGCAGCGATTCGTCAACGCTCTTGATAAAAATGTTCACCCTGTTGTTCATCATTTTGCTCAGTCATTATCAAATTAACTCTCTACTTTTATTCTTTGATTCGCGACTTGGCCGAGGATCTGTGGCATTAAAGACTCTCTGGTTGGGAACTATAACTCGGTTGATCGATTTTACCTTCTCTCCCTTGCAGTTTCTGTATATGTTTTCGCTTTATATGTCTTCACGTTTTATATCTTGAAAATTAACCTTGAAAACATTTAACAATAATATATATCTAATATAGAAAACTAAATATAATTATCCGTTAAAACGTTTAGTCAAAACCGGTACAAACTAACTAATACGGTTACACTTTTGTTCACATGTCAAATCAAATTATTACAAAAAAATACCTGTAGGCCTATCATCTGTTTTTGTTAACTTCAGCTACAAAAAGCTATCGACAATAACATGGGCACTTTCAAGGGCTGTAGGATGGAAACCAGATTTTTCTCAGCCTTGTGGCCAACTCTATTTGATTTCTCGTGGTCAAATACCTTTCTAATACCAGATATAACAAAAACAAAACAACAAAACAACAACAACAAAAATAATAATAATAATAATAAAAACACAAAAAAAACACTAAACAAAAAAATCTAAATTCCTCGGACGAAAGAAATGTTTTGCCCGTAAACGCGTTTGTTATAGATTGGATACATAGACGAATTTTCTTTTTCCAATTGTGGGGAAGATATTTCATAAATAAAAACCAAGATATAATAATTTCCTTAAAACACCATGATGTGTCTTTTCTAACATACTGTATGTTTAACAAAATACCATATGTTATGTTTAATAAGTTAACTTTGTTTTTGTTTACAATCATTGTTATTTAGGATTCAATTCAGAATACACCTATTTTATTTTAACAATCTTTTATTTAATATGTAACAGTTTGGCGACGAGGAAAACCAGTTTTTAATTTTTTTTTACATTCTATTTATTACAATTTATTTTTTAATATGAGTGACCTAAGTTACACTGAAAGTTTGACTGATTTAAAGAAGATTAGAGTAGTAGTGAAGGGTCAGTTGTCTAAGGCTGAAAGATGGCTAGCAAACCTACAAAACATGTCAAAAGAAGTAATCAAAACCAGGATAACAACAATTGAAGATTATTGGGAAAGATTTAATTCTGTACAACAATTAATAGAAGACAAAACTGAAGAAGCTGATATTGAGAAAGAAATAGATTACAGAGTAGAAATGGAGGACAAATATTACAAGGTAATGGATGAGTTACAAAAACGTATGGGACAGCTTGCAGAACTACAAGTGAACACTCAAAATATTGTGCCTAGTACATCAAATTTGTCTACTCCACAACGTCGATCCACTACTTCCTCAATGATTTTCACACCATATCAGGAAAATGAATCATTCAAGAACTTCATTCGTCGATTTGAGATATTTCTATATCTACATAGCCAAGAATTGGAACCAAAGGATCAAGTGTACACAATGCTACATGCCTTAACCCCACATTTACATCAGAAGCTGTATGATTTGTGCGCTCCCGAAAGTCCTTTGGATAAAACATATGCTGAATTAGTAAGTCTTTTGGCTGATTATGTTGACCCTAAACCTAGTACTTGGGCCTTACAACACAAATTTATGACAAGAACACAAGAATCTGAAGAAACCGTAAAAATATATTCCGTTGAGCTTCAAAAGTTATCTTCAGACTGTGACTTCAACTGTAATAATTGTGGGAAATCAATTGCAAACACATTACTACGCATGCAGTTTATAAGAGGTATTAGCAATTCAGACATAAGAACAAAATTATTACAAGAAAGATCTGCTTCATCGTTTCAAGATGTAGTGAAACTTGCCTCCATCATGGAATTGGCAAAGAACGAAAGCTATATAGTAGAAGAAAACATTCATTCAAATGAGAAAATCAACAAGATAGCAGGTACAGGAACAAAACCACCCCATTTTTCTCCTACTTGGAACAAAAAGTTAAAGTCTCCATTTGAACGCCTCAAAGGTAAATGCTATCGTTGTGGATCACCTAGACACAGGGCACATCAGTGTAAATTTATCGGAGAAATATGTAAGAAATGCAACAAACAAGGGCATATTGCTAGCGTATGTTTAGGCACAAAACAAACAGAAATTCATTGTACCGAAACTGACAATACTATAGACTATTATAAGGAAGAGAAACAAGAGGTTTTTAAGATACACAACCAGAGTGCCGGTAATGACAAGTTTATGGTCGAGATACTTATTGAAGGTAAACCTGTGCGGATGGAGTTAGATACTGGAGCAGCAATAAGTATTCTACCATACTCTACCTTCAAAAGTCTCAACATAAATAAAAAGATTTTCCACACAAACATAGAACTAAGGACATACTCAAGCGAAATAATCAAACCCCGGGGTGTCGTCTTTGTAGAATGCACTTACAATGATCAGGTGTTTGTTGGGAAACTCTACATAGTGAACCAAAATTTTGATGCAATTTTTGGAAGAGAATGGATTAGAGAGGTCAAACTGGATTGGGCAGAACTTAAAACAGTTAGTAACAATACTACATCTACTGCACTCGAAGATCTTTTGGATGAATTCAAGGAATTATTTGAACCAGGAGTAGGACTCATACCTCACAAAAAAAGCACACTTACAGCTTGTTGAAGGGGCAAGACCTATTTTTGTGAAGGCTCGTCCAGTCCCATATGCATTAACTGAAAAAGTAGAACTCGAGTTGAATCGTCTGGAAGAAGCTGGAATCATTTCCAAAACCGACAAGTCCGATTGGGGTACTCCAATTGTACCTGTAGTAAAGCCTAATGGTAACATACGAATATGCGCTGATTACAAGGTTACAGTAAATAAACAAATCAAAGAAGAACATCATCCAATACCTCGGATTGAAGACATTTTTGCTCAAATGAATGGAGGACAGTTGTTCTGTACTTTGGATTTAAGTAACGCTTATCTCCACTTGGAAATGGATGCTGAGAGTGCAGAAATTCAAACTTTGAGCACTCATAAAGGACAATACATAGTTAACAGACTGATGTTTGGTGTAAAAGTTGCTCCAGGAGTTTGGCAAAAGGTGATGGACGGAATCCTTCAAGACCTTCAAGGTGTTCAGTGCTTCTTCGACGATATAATAATTCAAGGAACGTCATCAAAAGAACTACTAGAAAGAGTAAAGCAAGTGTTTGAGCGTTTAAGGAGTCAAAATTTAAAGTTGAACCGTGACAAGTGCAAATTTTTTCAAAAGAAAATTGAATACTTAGGACATGTTATTGACGCCACTGGAATCCACAAAAGTAAGGATAAAATCACAGCAATTACAAATGCACGAAGGCCTCAAAACATACAGGAACTACGATCTTTCCTAGGGCTTGTTAATTACTACAACCGGTTTGTAAAGAATTTGTCCACTGTTTTAAATCCTTTACATAGACTTCTAAAAAAAGGGCAGTCATTCATATGGGACAGTAAGTGTGAAGAAAGTTTCCAAAACATCAAGAAAAGAATAACAAGTGACACAGTTCTTTGTCACTTTAACCCAGACCTGCCATTGATCCTTGCAACTGACGCTTCACCAGTGGGACTTGGAGCAGTGATATCACATCGTTTCCCAGATGGAAGTGAAAAGCCTATAGCTTTTGCTTCAAGATCATTGACCAATGCTGAAAAACATTACAGCCAAATCGATAAAGAAGCCACAGGTATATACTGGGGGTTGAAGAAATTTTTTTCTTATTGCTACGGACGTCATTTCACACTCATCACGGACCATAAACCATTAGTGTCAATCTTCAATCCCAACAAGAGCCTACCATCAATGTCAGCTACGCTGATTTTTAATTCAATTTAATTCAATTATTTTTAATTCAACTACTCCCATTTTTTATCAGGATTTAACTACACAATTGAATTCAAGAGAACTGGTGACCATGGGAATGCAGATTTCCTCTCAAGATTTCCTGTGGAAGATTCAAAATTTACAAGTATTGACCAGTTTGGACATTTTCAAACAAACCAATTGAACACCATAACTATCAATCCCAAAGAACTAGCCGAAGAAACTAAGAAGGACGCATATCTAAAACAAATTCTTGAGGCTCTTGAGGAGGGTCAATCATTAGAGCCATTGGGATTTCACGATAATGAAGTTACATTACATGAAGGTTGCCTCTTCAAAGGGTGGAAAGTAATCATCCCAAATTCCCTCAAGAAAAGAATTCTCAATGAACTACACTACGGGCACATTGGTATAGTAAAAACCAAAGCTTTGGCAAGAAGTTACTGCTTTTGGAGAGGAATGGATAAAGACATTGAAAACATGATTGCTGTTTGCAAGCCTTGTCGTGAGAAACAAAATTCTCCAACGAAAGAGATCAACCATCCTTGGGAACCAGCAACTCAGCCATGGGAGAGAATACATATTGATTTCATGGGCCCAACAAATGGACAACAATTTTTCATTGTTGTTGATGCCTTCTCCAAATGGGTAGAGGTAATACCCACAAAAACAGCAACTACCGATTGGACTATTAAGGAGTTGAAGAAACTTTTTAGTACTTTTGGTCTTCCAAGCCTCCTAATTTCAGACAATGGACGAAGTTTCACTTCTCTTACTTTTCAAGAGTTTCTTAAGTCATGTGGAACTCAACACAAAACGACTGCCCCGTTCCACCCATCATCTAATGGACAAGCTGAACGCTTTGTACAAACAGTGAAGAAGATGTTGAAGTCGATATTAGATGAACCAGGAACACTTGACAGTAAAATTCACAAGGCGTTAATTCAACTCCGTCAAGTACCAAACTCAACAGGAAACTCGGCATACTATCTCATGTTCAACAGACAAGTAAGAACATACCTCAGTGTTATGATACCTTCTAGAATCGAGGACTCAAAAGACAAACCTAAAGGTATAACACGCATATTTAAGGTGGGAGACCGTGTTCAAGTGAGAAACTACTACAAGGGTCAGACAAAATGGAGTTTCGGAAAAGTTACATCAAGAGATGGAAATCTACATTACAACGTTGAACTGGAGAACGGAGTAACATGCAGACGACATGTAGATCAAATGCTGCGATCAAGACTTTAAAGGGGGAAAATTGATGTGTCTTTTCTAACATACTGTATGTTTAACAAAATACCATATGTTATGTTTAATAAGTTAACTTTGTTTTTGTTTACAATCATTGTTATTTAGGATTCAATTCAGAATACACCTATTTTATTTTACCAATCTTTTATTTAATATGTAACACACCATATGTGCCTTGTAGAAATATTATATAACAAATTGAAAAGTATAGTCAGTTTTATCTCTTTGCTATCAAACTAGTATTATATATATATATATATAATATAGTAATCGTTTTAAAGTTATAATTGATTGTAACTAACTATTTCGAATGCAATTTAACGGTTTCAAATTTTAACTTTCCAACTGTTGAATCAAGATTAATAGGAAAATGTCAAGAAACAGCTTGAACTAACATAAACAGAAGACTATGTTTAGAATTGATTTATTTAACATGTAAGCCTATTTTATTATTTATTGAAAATATATTTAATATAGTAACTAAAATGACCTAAAACCCCAAACTCTAGTGATTTATACTTTTAATTTATTTTTTAAAAGAAAATAAATCAATAGACGAAAAACCATAGGGTGTTTTTGTTTTGCCATGTATAATAAAATCCTTCGCAATAAGAAAGGGTTCTGATTTGAGACGTAACATACATTCGATGTAGATGAATATCGGGTTGTCTGTAAACTGTACAGCTGTGGTGTATAGCAATTGGAAATTACTTCAACAATTTCTTTCTTAAATGTAAAATATGTTATTTCAATTTATTTTTAATTAGTGATAAGTAGAATACGATGGACTATAATTCACAACTGCAAGTTGTATAACCTAAACACTATTTTAAAAGTGCCTACTGTTCTCTATTATACTGTCGCAAAAATATAATTCTAACTGCCAAATTATTTGGTTACAATATTATGTTCTGAGCAAATAGAAAAAATGAACACATTGAAAAAAGAGAAAACAGGATGTGCATTGTAAAATTGACTTTTAAAAACCATTTTGGTGCAACACCTTCAAAAATTCTGACACATTTTTATAACAACCGGTGTATTCAATGCGGATATTGACAGCTGTGTGTCAATGCGTGTATTCATTGATACCAAATAAAACATTTGTTTTTTAATGTAGTCAAATTGACTTTAATTATAAAATTAAATAGTTTCATTATAAAATTGAGAATTGTAAATTGACAAAGGTAATTTATTTTTCATTTATGTTGTTTTAAGGGTCCTTTAGAATGTAAAATATGAAAAAGTACAATTTATATAAACTGCTTAATTAATTTATTTCTAAAATAATAATTCCGTATCGTAAATATATTGCTATTAAAATTATTTTTGGAGATACGAGTTTGATTTTTGTTTGTTTTAAATAACTTTAACAAGGTGCAAATCTCATTTCTGCATATTTGCCTTAAGCTAATTCCTGTTATACCCGCCTCGCATACCAGACGTTTTATTGAAATTCCCAGTTAGGTCGCGTTGTTTTTGTTAAATTAATGATTAATAATAGGTGATAATCAGTTTTCAAAAATTGTGAAATGTAATTACTGTTGTTCATTTTTGTTTAAAATATAAAATAACAATAATGCAGCCAATCAAAAATATCAAATTGCCTTAAAAAGGGAAATTTAAGTTTACTTTTATTTCATGTCTTTACATATGTAATCTCACATTTGGAAGTACAGTAGTACATTTAAAAGAACACAATTTGCAGCCATCGGGTTTTTTCAAATTATTTACAATAAGCTCAGTTCATGATGGTTGAAAAGTAACTTGCACCCCCCTTAACTTTTCAACCATTTGAGATATTTCAAATTGGTTTGTGGCAACCTTCTAGATATGAGGGGCTATAATAATGATGTTTGATTTTGAAAGTTTTGCGGTAGAGGGGTTATAGGGTAGCTCAAAATTTTCAAACGACAAGTATAGTCGAGTTTGGTATAATTTTACAGTCTTGACAAAACCAAACAATTGACATAAATTAAACCAAAATCGAACCACTAATAACAAAGTGGCGCCCTAAAAAATTTAAATCCAAACAATCATGAGGGTGCTTGAAAATTAACCTGCGTCCCCTCTTAACTTTTTAACTATTTGAGATATTTGAAATCTGTTTGCGGAAACCTGTTTAAATATGAGCCAACCCTACTTCCTCTGTCCCTAAGGCAACATTTTCAAAATTAACCATCATTTTTGTGGCCCCTCATTTCTAAAAAAAGGTTGCCGCAAACCGATTTCAAATATCTCAAACGGTTCTAAAGTTAAGGGGGGAAGGGGTGTGATTTACGTTTTAGCCACCCCGTATTATAATTTTCAAATGCAATACCTTGATGTGAAATATTGTGTAAACTATTTGGTAGCAATCAATAGTTTCACAAGTACAAATCCTAATTTCAAGTAAACTAGATAAATTCTTAAGTGAGTTACCATATTCCGGGATAGTATTGGATGTTGTACATAAAAACGAAACTTTGCTCACAAGGAATGAGATATTATAATCGTAATATATAGCCTAGACATGTCCATGACACATGGGGTATTTAAAATTGTAAAAAAGGTTCAAGAAAAACGGATGCCATTTTACCCTGTATTTCTCCAAAGTAAGTTACTCTTTCACTCTGCTGCAAGGTGATTCATTGTGATCATTTCAATGCAATTATTATTATTATAAAATATTAACAGTTAGACTACTTAAAAAACTTGATTTTAGCTTACAAAGACTTAATTTGGCGGTAAAACGTGAGGTTTAAAAAAAAATATTTATTATAGTAGAACCTTCTAGAAAAGTTTATCTCCACTTAAACCTGAGAAAGTATAACCTTAAACAATTGAGTCGTGTATATTTTTCTGAAAATAATCAATGATTGCTTGGTTAGTGAGGGTACTTAATATTATCTTTTGTTTCGAATGTATAACAAGAAAGGAAAAATATAATACCTTTGTGCGTTTTTCTTAGATTAAAGGAAAAAAGTATTGCACAGTTACAGTATACCAAGTACCTTTATTTACTTATGTTTGCCATGATAAGTAAATAATGATGTTTTTAAGAAAGCCTAGGTGGTGATGTAATACAGGCAATAACCACGAAACGCCCGAGAGACCGCCTTACAGTTTGCCCTGGCCTCTGGATTTCGTGATCAGAAGACGCTTGGAAATATTATTATTGTAAATCGTTCTATAAAGTATTATGACAGTAATACATTTAAATAACTTCTTCAAATGTCCAGTCAAAGACAGTCCTTAAAACACCGAAAAGGTCTAAAGCAGTAAAAATTAAGAACTGAAAATGTATGTTACAGATTATATAGTATAATATATTATAAGTTACAGTATAATTTATGTATATTATAGAATACAATTTTATATTATTCTATAAAATTTCATTTGGTATTGGGAACAGCTATTAGATTTAAAATTTATTTTCATTTTAATTAGTATAAGGAGATATCTACTAGCTACAAATATCAGATCAAATATACTGTACTTTGAAAATTGAAAATATTCCCTACATAATATGACCCACAGACGTAGGCCTACAGTATGTGGTTGCAAGTAAACACGTCTGCAGGATATCCTCTCTCATCCAGGATACAGTAGGACTTTGTCTGTGGTCAAACTTTCATTTCACTTGAGACATATTTTAGGAAATATGCTAGTTGCATCCGTGAAATATTGATTTTTTTATTTGCATACCTACTGCTACTCGCAATCTGGTTAAGCCACCCCAATACAATTATATCATTACGTTTTTGGGTGGTTGAGCATGGAGGACATTAAGAGGAAGAGCTAACTTTGTTTATTTTTCATGCTAGTCAATTGTTATTCCTGTTCCTTTTCTTGGATTTTTGCCTTGTTAATTATTTGTAGTTTTTTCATAGCGTACACTGTTAGCACAAACTTAGCATGTACAGTAAAATGCACTTTGGCATTTAGTATTTATTGATTTTCATAGCATGTAGCATGAACTATATTATTTCATAGCATGATTTTCATAGCATGTAGCATGAACTATATTATCGCTGCACTTAAATTCACTTTGTTCTATTTTGTCTTTGATGCTCTATTTTTGTGTTATTTCTGTGTCATATTAATTGTACCTGCAACTGAATCAACTTAAATTATTGAATCTAGTAGTATTATTGCATGTAAGCGGCTTGAAAGAAAAATGTATAATAATATTCTGTATACCTAATCAAACATATTTTGTAAAATGGCGATTGCCGTATGTACGAATAAATGAATAAATAAACCGTATATGTGATACTTACCTACTTACTTGGTACTTGAATTCTGCATCGTTGACCGACAAAGTCGGAATAGATTGCGTCACATATAATAATACTACTATTTACATAAAAACTAACTAAGATGGCGGCGGGTTGCCAAAAAGTGGTGCTTCGTTCAGCTCACTTAGTGAGTGTAAAGGTCTGCCCACCAAATAGTCTCTCAGGGTGTCCTTGAAGGCCATAATGTCCAGCTCGCGCACTTCAATTGGGAGCGTGTTATAGAGCTTACTTGTGTAGTAGGGGTAGCCCTTTGAGTCCAGGCTAGTCGGCATCTAGGTAGGTCAAGGAGATGGCCATGTCGTGTTTGATATGAATGCTGGTCCTCTCGTCGAGCAAGTTTTGTAGACATTTTCTTTAAGTAGCACCAAGCTATTTAATACGTACTGGCTATACGGGAAGGCTGTGGCGATGGCGGACGTGAAGGACGTGGTAGAGTGCCCGGTCTGCGACAAACGGTGTTTAGACAATGACAGAGCGATTTTCTGTAATGGAATGTGTCACTCCTGGCACCACGCCAAATGTGTGAACATAACTGTAAAAAAGTATAGTGAAATACAGAAGGTGGAAGATTTTATGAAGTGGTTTTGCCCGGTCTGTGACGTCAAACTGAGGAACTACATCTCCCGAACCAATGCGGAATCGGAGCTAGCTTGTGAGTTACTTGATATTAAATCACAAGTTTCATCCTTTCACAAGATTGGCTTAGGACTGGAAAAAAAACTAAATTTACTGATTAATCATAGCATCAAAACCAAAGTAGCAATAAAACAAATTGTGAACTCAGATATTGTGGCTAACAATATAACCTCTGAAGGGGATAAAAATTCAAAACCTGACATGTCTCCCCTCCCCAGCACACATATGAGTAATGACGTATCAATGTCAATGACGACATCGAATGATGACGCTGTTATTGAGCGGAGCGAGCGAAGCGAGCGAAGCTCTTATACGTCGACTCTTATGCATTTCGTAATACGCAAACTCCTCCTACACGGCTGAATCAATCGTTTTCAAACTTTGCATGGTGATAAAGACCATATCGGTGAGTGCCAACATCTATATGGCGTTAAAAAAGCCTCTCAGGAATCCGCCCCACTGGGTCTCAAAGTTTCAATGTAATCCTTATGGAAGCAGTATTTGACACATAAACAAAGACATATGATCAGCTGTTGACTTTTAAATGCAGTAGATAAAGAAATAGCTGATAGCATTATTGCACAGATATTAGAACATAAACGGCAAGGATCATAAATATAATCAAATGACGACACTAGCTTGAGGTCCGTGACGTAGGAAGTGGTGAAGGGAGTAGTAAAGTTGAGCAGTCTGGAGTGTGGAAACTGTTGAAGACTATTAGATTTACGTATCTGCATTCCTAAAATTCTATGGGAAGGTAGGAAAACGGGTCCGCGACCTAGGAAGTGGTGAAGGAAGTAGTCAAGGGGAGCTGGAGAGCTGTCCGGAGTGTGGGAACTGTCTATGACGAATAGATTAAGGTATCTGCAATCCTAAAATGCCATTGGAAGGGAAGGAAAAAGGTCCACGACGTAGGAAGTGGTAAAGGAAGTAGTAAAGGTAAGCTGTTCAGGGTATGGGATCTGTTTATTACCATTAGATTAAGGTATTTGCAATAATATGATGCTATGGGAAGGGAGGGAAACAGGTCCGTGACGAAGGAAGTAGTGAAGGAAGTAGTAAAGGCAAGCAGTTTGGACTGTGGGAACTGTTTTTGACTATTAGATTATGGTATCTGCAATCCTAAAATGCTATGGGAAGGGGGGGGAAACAGGTCCGCGACGTAGGAAGTGGTGAAGGAAGTAATAAAGGCGAGTTGTCCGGAGTGTGCGATCTCTTTATGACCAATAGATTAATGGTATTGGCAAACCAATAATGCTATGGAAAGGGAGGGAAAAAGGTCCGAGACGTAAGAAGTGGTGGAGGAAGTAGTAAAGGCGAGTTGTCCGGAGTGTGGGAACTGTTTATGACGATTAGATTAAGGTATCTGCAATCCTAAAATGCTATGGAAAGGGAGGGGAACAGGTCCGTGACGTAGGAAGTGGTGAAGGAAGTAGTAAAGGCGAGCTTTTCGGAGTGTTGGAACTGTTTATGATGATTAGTTTAAGGTATCTGCAATCCTAAAATGCTATGGAAAGGGAGGGAAACAGGCCCGTGACGTAGGAAGTGGTGAAGGAAGTAGTAAAGGCGAGCTGTCCGTAGTGTGGGAACTGTTTATGACGATTAGATTAAGGAATCTACAATCCTAAAATGCAATGGAAAGGGAGGGAACCAGGTCCGTGACGTAGGAAGTGGTGAAGGAAGTAGCAAAGGCGAGCTGTCCGGAGTGTGGGAACTGTTTATGACGATTAGACGAAGGTATCTGTAATCCTAAAATGCTATGGAAAGGGAGGGAAACAGGTCCGTGACGTAGGAAGTGGTGAAAGAAGTAGTAAAGGCGAGTTGTTCGGATTGTGGGATCTGTTTATGACCAATAGATTAAGGTGTTTGCAATCCAAGAATGCTAAGGAAATGGAGGGAAACAGGTCCGAGACGTAGGAAGTGGTGAAAGAAGTAGTAAAGGCGAGCTGTCCGTAGTGTGGGAACTGTTTATGACGATTAGATTAAGGAATCTGCAATCCTAAAATGCTATGGAAAGGGAGGGAACCAGGTCCGTGACGTAGGAAGTGGTGAAGGAAGTAGCAAAGGCGAGCTGTCCGGAGTGTGGGAACTGTTTATGACGATTAGACGAAGGTATCTGTAATCCTAAAATGCTATGGAAAGGGAGGGAAACAGGTCCGTGACGTAGGAAGTGGTGAAGGAAGTAGTAAAGGCGAGTTGTTCGGATTGTGGGATCTGTTTATGACCAATAGATTAAGGTATTTGCAATCCAATAATGCTAAGGAAATGGAGGGAAACAGGTCCGAGACGTAGGAAGTGGTGAAAGAAGTAGTAAAGGCGAGCTGTCCGGAGTGTGGGAACTGTTTATGACGATTAGATTAAGGTATCTACAATCTTAAAATTCTATGGGAAGAGACGGAAACATGTCCGCGACGTAAGAAAAGGTGAAGGAAATAGTAAGGTGGGCAGTGTGGAGTGTGGGAATTGAAACCGTTTGTAGCAGATAGATTAATCTTCAATCCTAAAAATGCTATGAGAAGGGAAGAAAACAGGCCTACGACGTAGGAAATGGTGAAGGAAATAGTAAGGCTTGCAGTGCAGAGTGCGGGAACTGTCTTTGGCAATTGCATTAATGTATCTGTAATCCTAAAATGCTATGGGATGAGAGGGAAACTGGTCCACGGCGTAGGGGATGGTGAAGGAAGTAGTAAAGGTGAGCAGTGTTGAGTGTGGGAATGGATTAATGTATCTGCAATGCTAAACTGCTATGGGAAGATACTGTGTAGACTGTAGGTTAAAATTATTACGAAGCACGAATCGATACATATTTCGATACATGCAATCGTTTACAATAGAAATTTACAACTGAGTTGACAACAGCTGATTTTTACTCCATAGAGGCTAAAAACTATTTTTACTCCCTAAAGAGTAAAAAATGTTACTTTAGACCCGCAACGCAAAAATGACCGATTTTACTGCAGTATTACAAAAACAATATAATATGAACCCTTGATGACTCCGCTCAATTTTGTGGATGCCTATGCAAACGCCACCTAGTAATCCAACCCTCATTGGCTGGCGAAAAAACGCATGAAATACAGAAGGCAGTGGATGTAACTGTAACTGAAACTGAAACTACAGAAATGACTAATCGAAATGAAGAAACAAGGAATGGAAATGGACTGCTGGAATTGACGCTAGTTTCGGTACAGAAGGAAAGTGAACCTAACGAAACTGCTTATTCTCACATTTCTCTATATACACCATCTCAACCTTTAAAGGAAAATAGTACTTCTAATCTTAATACAAACAAAGTATCGAATTTATCCAAATACCCGAAAAGCTACTCTGATGTTCTTAAAGCCAAGTCAACCAACACTGATTTTCACACCAGCAAGACAAAATACAATGACGTCATAGTTGGAAGTGGTGTCTCAAACAAACTGAAAGCGGCCCGCAGAAAATCCCTGTTCTTTGTTTCAAGAGTCAATTCCAACGCTACAAGTGAAGAGCTTTCTTGCTTGCTAAACGACAATGGCATAACTGACAGTGAATGTTATGAACTCAAGACCCGTTTTAAAGACTACAAGTCATTCAAAGTGTGTGTTCCTACGGACCTTGAATCTAAAATCCGTGACCCAAACCTATGGCCTGCTGGAATATTAGTAAGAGCCTACCTCCCATCCAGACGTGAAAATAGTGATAAGCCTTCTTTTTTAGGCAGAACCTTTTATCGAACTGTGGTGAAATAGTGGCCAAGGAGACTGTGGTCTTGGGTTCACTTGCTCCCCAACCTGACATCTCAGATAGGCCTAACCTAAACCTGCCAGTGACTAGGCCTAGACCATTGCAAGTTAGTGCTAATAAACTTGTTAGTGTAAATAAGCCTACTGTAAAATCAGTGACTGTAAATATAGCTGCCTTGAACGTTCAATGCCTGAAAACCAAATCTGAGCTCTTGTCCTTATTTGTGGAGGAAAACAACTGCGACATTCTGTGTATCTCGGAACATTGGTTGAACGCTGGAGAATCAACCTTTTATATGAACTTAGCTTCCCTACAACAAGTTAGTGCTTATTTCCGTGAGGACCATAGAAATGGTGGTGTGGCTATTTATGCAAAATCCAATTTCACATGTAAATATATTGATTTAAACACTTTTTGCATTGAACTTGCCTTTGAAGCAACCGCTGTGGAAATAATTGGCATCTCGACAACGTTGCTGTCTGTGTATAGGTCACCTGATGGCCCCTTTGAAACATTTATAACACAACTGGAGCTGTGTCTTGACTTTCTTAGTAAACTTTACTCAAGGCTGATTGTGTGTGGCGACTTCAACGTGCATCTGGAACGCCCTTCGAGAGAAGAATCCATATTTGTGAACTTATTAAGAAGTTTTGATCTCCACATAACCTCAAGGGATCCGACCAGAAGAAGTGCTTGTCTGGACGCTATAGCTACCAACATAAACTCCTGGGACCATAGGACTGAGGTGGTTAAATCACTGGTGGCGGATCACGACGGAGCTGTGCTCATGTCATTGGTAGCAGACCAGGTAAGGACCCAACCTGCATGGTGTGATAATTATCTAATTAAAAAAAGAGTTATAGATAAGACCAACCTGCCTACTTTGTGCAAAGAGCTAGGGAAAGTAGACTGGGACTCAATCCAACATATTCAACATGCTGAATCTGCTTTTTCTGTCTTTTCTACAATGTACCAAGATAAATTTGATGAGATCTTTCCGTTAAAAGTTTGCAAATTCAAATCAACCTCTAACAAACCTAAGCCCCTAAATAGCAATAAGTCATGGTATACCCCTCAACTTGCAGCTATACGCTCTCATATGATCCTAGTTCATGATCATTATAAACTTGCCGATGATGATAACCTAAAAGCTCGCTACTTCCTACTCTATACTAAAATAAAACAGCACTATAGTTCTGAAGTTAGGAATGCAAAGAAGGCACACAATGTTAAAGTGATCTCAGAATCTACTAATGCCTGTAAAGCCGCGTGGGGGATTGTTAATGAACACCGCAAGCAAACTCCTGGCCCCATTGCTGTAGCGTCACCTGACGAATTCAACAACTTCTTTGTTAAAGTTGCAGATGACATAATCTCTGATTTACCTCTGTTACAGCATCAGGACCCCCTACACCAACTTGACGATTTTTCCTCGAACCATACACTAACACATTGGAACAAGGTGAGTGAAAAACAAATTACTAGCATAGTCAAAGGCTTTAAAGACTCAACTTGCCAAGATGTTAATGGATTGTCAACCTCCATACTTAAAAGTACAATAAATGAAATAGTAAAACCACTAACTTTCCTGATAAATTTATGTCTAAGCAATAGTATTTTTCCGAACAGTCTTAAAATAGCTAGAACTATCCCAATTTTCAAAAAGGGTGACCCATCTATGCTGTCCAATTATAGGCCAATCTCTATATTACCAGTCTTCTCCAAGATCCTTGAGACCGTTATGAAAATCCAACTGATGGCCTACCTTGAAAATAATAACTTACTTTCTGAGGCTCAACACGGTTTTAGGAGCGGACGCTCTACGACCACTGCATTGACGTTTCTTGTTGAGAAAATCACGGAAGCCTTTGAACAAAGCGAGTCAGTCCTTCTGAGACTCTGCGACCTCAGCAAGGCCTTCGATGTCGTGAGTCATGATCTGCTAATAGCAAAACTTAGGAAGTATGGAGTTGGAGGTGCTGTCCTTGACACCTTGTCCTGCTACCTGGCCGACCGCAAGCAGGTTGGGTCCCTAAATGGTGCTTCCTCTTGTATTAGAGACGTCCCACACGGAGTACCTCAGGGCTCGGTGCTAGGCCCAATCCTCTTCAGCTTGATGATTAACGACCTGTGGCTTAATGGATCCACCATGTTATTTGCAGACGACACTACCCTCATATCACAGGGGAAGGACATTGGACAGGTTCGGACGGAGGCCGACCACCTACTGGAACGGGCCAAAGACTGGTTCAACATGAACCGATTCAAGCTAAATGAGGACAAAACCCAATCGCTGCTGTGCACCCTAAAGCTTGATCCACATTAAGACGAAGCCGTGAAACTTCTTGGGTTTTGGCTTGACCCCAAGCTAAGTTGGAATACGCACATAGATAAGGTATGTACTAAACTCTCCAGAGTACTATGTCTTTTGAGGAAGCTCCGTTACGCCATCACAAAGCCCTATCTACTAAATGTGTACCATGCTCTTTTCCATAGCCATGTCACCTATGGCATAGCGATGTGGGGACACGCACCACTAACTCAGGACATTCTCCTCTTACAGAAGAAGGCTGTAAGAATTACTAGGTGGCGTTTGCAGAGGCATCCACAAAATTGAGCGGAGTCATCAGGGGTTCATACTATATTGTTTTTGTCATACTGCAGTAAAAACAGTCGTTTTTAATGCATGCGTTGCGGGTCTAAAGTAGCATTTTTACTCTTTAGGGAGTAAAGATCGTTTTTAGCCTCTATGGAGTAAAAATCAGTTGTTGACAACTCAGTTGTAAATTTCTATTGTAAACGATTGCATGTATCGAAATATGTATCGATTTGTGCTTTGTAATCATTTTAACCTACAGTCTACAGTCTCTTCCCAAAGCATTTTAGCATTGCAGATACATTAATCCATTCCCACACTCAACACTGCTCACCTTTACTACTTCCTTCATCACCCCCTACGTCGTGGACCTGTTTCCCTCTCTTCCCATAGCATTTTAGGATTGCAGATACATTAATGTAATTGCCAAAGGCAGTTCCCACACTCTGCACTGCAAGCTTTACTACTTCCTTCACCATTTCCTACGCCATAGACCTGTTTCCTTCCCTTCTCGTAGCATTTAAGTATTAGAATTGACTATATATTGGAATATTGACTATATAATGGTATTAGATACATTTATCTAACTGCCCAAACGGTTCCCCCACTCTCCACTGCCAGCCTTTAAAACTTCCTTCACCACTTCCTACGTCGTAGGGCCTGTTTCCTTCTCTTCTCTTAACATTTTAGGATTGAAGATACATTAATCTAACTGCCACAGACGGTTCTCACATTATGCTCATACTTTACTACTTCCTAAGCTACTTCCTACATCGTGGACCTGTTTTCATCACTTTCCATAGCATTTTAGTATTTTAGATACGTTAATATAATTGCCACAAACATTGCCCACACTTCACACCGCTAGCCTTTACTACTTCTTTCACCATTTTCTATGTCGTGGGCATGCTTCCATCCCTTCTCATAGCATTTCAGCATTGCAGATAAGTTAATCTGACTGCTACAAAGGGTTCCCAGTTCCCACACTCCACACTGCTCACCTTACTACTTCCTCTTACCTCTTCTTACGTCGCGGGCCTGTTTCTCTCTATTCCCATAGAATTTTAAGATTGTGGATACCTTAATCTAATCGTCATAAACAGTTGCCACACTCCGAAAAACTCACCTTTACTACTTCCTTCACCTCTTCTTACGTCGCGGGCCTGTTTCTCTCTATTCCCATAGAATTTTAAGATTGTAGATACCTTAATCTAATCGTCATAAACAGTTCCCACACTCCAAAAAGCTCGCCTTGACTACTTCCTTCACCACTTCCTACGTCTCGGACCTGTTTCCCTCCCTACCCTTAGCATTATTGGATTGCAAATACCTTAATCTATTGGTTATAAACATATCCCACACTCTGAACAACATTTCCTTTACTACTTCCTTCGCAACTTCCTACGTCACCGACCTGATTCCCTCCCTTTCCATAGCATTTTAGGATTGCATATACCTTAATCTAATCGGCATAAACAGTTCCCTCACTCCGGACAGCTCACATTTACTGCTTCCTTCACCACCTCCTACGTCACGGACCTGTTTCCCTCCCTTTCCATAGCATTTTAGGATTGCAGATACCTTAATCTAATCGTCATAAACAGTTCCCAAACTCCAGACAACTCGCCTTCACTACTTCCTTCACCACTTCCTACGTCACAGACCTGTTTACCTCCCTTCCCATAACATTTTAGGTTTGTAGATACCTTTATCTAATCGTCATAAACAGTTTCCACACTCCGGACAGCTCGCCTTGACTACTTCCTCCGCCACTTCATACGTCGCGGACCTGTTTTCCTCCCTTCCCATAGCATTTTAGGTTTGTAGATACCTTAATCTATTGGTCATAAACAGATCCAACACTCCAGACAACTCGCCTTTACTACTTCATTCACCACTTCCTTCGTCACGGACCTGTTTTCCTCCCTTCCCATAGCATTTTAGGTTTGTAGGTACCTTAATCTAATCGTCATAAACAGTTTCCACACTCCGGACAGCTTGCCTTGACTACTTCCTTCACCACTTCCTACGTCGCAGACCCCTTTTCCTCCCTTCCCATAGCATGTTAGGTTTGCAAATACCTTAATCTAATGGTCATAAACAGATTCCATACCCCGAACAGCTCGCCTTTACTACTTCCTTCACCAATTCCTACGTCTCGGACCCCTTTTCCTCCATTTCCATAGAATTTTAGGAATGCCTTTAATATTACCTTAACCTAATCGTCATAAACAGCTTCCACACTCCGGACAGCTCGCCTTGACTACTTCCTTCACCACTTCATACGTCGCGGACCTGTTTTCCTCCCTTCCCATAGCATTTTAGGTTTGTAGATACCTTAAGCTATTGGTCATAAACAGATCCAACACTCCAGACAACTCGCCTTTACTACTTCCTTCACCACTTCCTACGTCACGGACCTGTTTTCTCCCTTCTCATAGCATTTTAAGTTTGTAGATACCTTAATCTAATCGTCATAAACAGTTTCCACACTCCGGACAGCTCGCCTTGACTACTTCATTCATCACATCCTACGTCACGGACCTGTTTTCCACCCTTCCCATAGCATTTTAGGATTGCAAATATCTTAATCTAATCGCCTTAAACAGTTTACACACTCCGGACAGCTCGCCTTGACTACTTCATTCATCACTTCCTACGTCGCGGACCTGTTTCCACCCTTCCCATAGCATTTTAGGATTGCAGGTACCTTAATCTAATCGTCATAAACAGTTTTCACCCTCCGGACAGCTCGCCTTGACTACTTCATTCATCACTTCCTACGTCGCGGACCTGTTTTCCACCCTTCCGATAGCATTTTAGGATTGCAAATACCTTTATCTAAGGGTCATAAACAGATTCCATATCCCGAACAGCTCGCCTTTACTACTTCCTTCACCACTTCCTACGTCGCGAACCTGTTTCCTTCCCTTCTAATAGCATTTTAGGATTGCAGATACTTTAATATAATCGTCATAAACAGTCCACACTCCCTACAGCTCGCCTTGACTATTTCCTTCACCAATTCCTACGTCGCGGACCCCTTTTCCTCCCTTCCAATAGAATTTTAGGAATGCCTTTAATATTACCTTTATCTAATCGTTATAAACAGTCCCCACACTCTGGACAGCTCGCCTTGACTACTTCCTTTACCACTTCCTACGTCGCGGACCAGTTTTCCTCCCTTCCTATAAAATTTTAGGAATGCAGATACCTAAATCTACAGCTAAACCTACAGCTCGCCTTGACTATTTCCTTCACCAATTCCTACGTCGCGGACCCCTTTTCCTCCCTTCCAATAGAATTTTAGGAATGCCTTTAATATTACCTTTATCTAATCGTTATAAACAGTCCCCACACTCTGGACAGCTCTCCTTTACTACTTCCTTCACCACTTCCTACGTCACGGACCTCAAGCTAGTGTCGTCATTTGATTATATTTATGATCCATACCGTTTCTGTTCTAATATCTGTGGATTAATGCTATCAGCTATTTCTTTTCTACTGCATTCAAAAGTCAACAGCTGATCATATGTTTTTGTTTATGTGTCAAATACTGCTTCCATAAGGATTACATTGAAACTTTGAAACCCAGTGGGCGGATTCCTGAGAGACTTTTTTAACGCCATATAGATGTTGGCACTCACCGATATGGTCTCTATCACCATGCAAAATTTGAAAACGATTGATTCATCCGTCTAGGAGGAGTTTGCGTATTACGAAATGCATAAGAGTCGACGTATAAGAGCTTCGCTCAATAACATTCTCAGACTTTGATGAACACTGCAGGCCTCTCTTCGTGGAGCTAGGAATACTAACAGTGCACAGCCAATATGTCCTAAGCAGTTTGCTACTCCTAAAAGACAACCTCCACCTTTTTGATATGAGGGAAAGCCAGCATAGCCACAACACTCGAAAGGCCCAGGACCTTGATCTGCCGCGGTGTAGGCTTAGCCACTCCATCAAAAGCTACCCTCGCTCAGCAATCAAGATCTTTAACACGCTGCCAAAAAGAGTGAGAGAGTTAGACAGGACTAAATTCGGGGCAGTACTGCAGGCCCATCTGGTAAAAAGACCCCTCTACTCTTTAGAGGAATTAAGGGAAGTGCCATTAAAAGTTAGCTGAAAACAGCACTACAGTAGGAAATCAGTTAGGAAATCAAATCGCCACAGCCCAGTTAATAAATAGTTTGTTTAGTAAGAAGTTTGTAAATATTAGTTTTAAATAATATGTAAATAAATAGTATGTTAATGTGCCTATGACGCAATCTATCCGACATTGTCGGTCAAGGATTAAGGACACAAGTATCAAGTAAGTATCAAGTATAGATGGTCAGAACCTTTAGGTCTTTGAAGATAGGTCTACAGTGGTCACGATGCCCGGCGGACGTAATCACCCTTAAAGCCATTTTCCGAAGAAGCAAGATGTCATGTGCTGCAGCTGTATGGCCCCAGAGTGCAATGCCATAGCTTACATGGCTTTGAAAGAGAGCATGGTACACTGTGACTAAGTACGGTTTAGTGATGACCAACACAAGTTTCCTTAGGAGATAGACCACTCTGGCAAGCTTGACACATACCTGGCTAATGTGGTGTTTCCAACCTAACCTGGAGTCGATCCAGAAGCCAAGGAGTTTAACAGCTTCCTCACCCAGATAGTTTGGCTTGAGTGTGCTCGCAGTGATTGAGTCTTCTCGTCATTTATCTTTAGCAAATTCTGATTGAACCAC